AGCATAAACGGAGCCGAACTCGGCTCGGCATATCCTGCCCTCTGAGGCCCAGGGAACCTGGTCCCCGCTCGCCCCCTCCCTGGCAGCTCTGATAACAAAGCCAGCTCTTCCCTCCGCGGGCCTCTGGCTCCTTTTCATGGTCGGGCCCCAGCTTAATGCCCCGTCCTGCAGGCCTCCCTGGCCGTCCTAGCTAAGCTGGCAGCCACCCTGTCATGGCACCCATTTCTTTCCTGCCACTCATCGCAATCAGTGAGCACCCACTTTGTTTTCTTGTGCACTGTCCCCGCCACTGGAATACAAACGACATATGAACCTCCTGTCACCTCCGGCAGGCCAGCACCCAGCACATGTCGGCCACTCAATAAGCATCTGCTGAATGAATAGGAGGCCCCCTCCACCCCCCAAAAAGGCCGGGTCTGGCAAATAAGGTGGGTAACAAAATGTGGAATAGGAAAAAAGAGCTGTGTCTGTCAAACAATAAATGCTCCAAATCCTTTCCCCGCCAGACAGGCTCCCTTAATAAAGTCCTTTGAGACTGAGTTGGGGGAGGGGGGGGGCGTGTGTGTGTCTCACACTGGATCAAAGGCTAACTCCTAAAGCCAGGTTTCCCCAAAAGTCTTAAGCAAAGGCAGCCCTGTGAGCACAGGTCTCCCCAGGTGACCACTGGGAAGGCACAGGCACCCAGCGACACGCAGAGCCAGCCTGCTGTTAAGAGTCCTTGGACATCAGCGTCACTTGCGTAGGGGGTGCCGATAAAATTCCCAGGTCCAGGCCAGCCCCACCTCAGCCCACCGCCAGCAGGGGCCAGGCATGGACTTTCTCCACGCTGCCCAGGGGATGCTGCCATGCAGCTTAGTCACCGCTTCCAATTCACCGTAAAATACATCTACAAACAGGGCTTGCTCTCACAGGGTCTGAGTCGGGTCAAAGTCACTTCTCCTACAGGTTAGAAAGTCCTAGAAGGGGACACAGGGAGCACGGGCTGTAATCGAAAGGCATTTAGCTCGTCTGCACAGGATGCATCGCAGCAAAGCCGAAGTCACCAGCCAGCAAGAGGCCAAGCAAGACTTCAGCCGACGACCCGTAAGCAGGCTCTAAGTTTTTATCTTCTTTGGGTGTTCAGATGTCATTACATTTAAAAAAAAAATCAGTAAATTCTAAGTGGCCACCCAGGGCACACCCAACAGCACTCCAGGTGGACAATGGTGGCAGTGGGGATAATGGCAGAGGGGAACCTCAGACACACGTGCTCAGGTGGGGAGGGGCTCTTTTCTTACGTTCTTAAGCATCTGATAAAACGCTTCCAATACCCCGCCGGCCCAGGGCACACCTCTGATGCCGCGTTAGATGCCAAACAAAGACTTTCCTCTCAATATTCTTCCCCTTCAGGCTGAGAAAAACGGGAAGGAAAGCGCCAGCCTCGTTCTGTCACTTGCATGACGAAGGTGAGCTGCTGGGACAGGACTGGGCCTCCCCATGAGGACAGGCACACAGCGCCCGGGGAGACCCATGGCACGGCCAACTGGGGCAACACAGCCCGACTCGCCGCCTCCTCTCGGGCCGATTCCAGCCTCGACACCTGCAACAAATCTGTACAGTGAATCTGAGAGGCCACCAAATTTCAAGAGCCATGGTACTGAGCCAGCAGATGCCTGAAACTGAAAATAGCGTCGCCAACCCCGTGATGGTTCTCATGATCCTTTTTCTTAATCATAGAGAAATCTTTTCAGGAAATCATCTCTGTGGTAAGGAAACACTTTTATCAATGTGCTGGAGTTTCACTTCAGTTTCCCCATGTGCTCATAATCGAAGAAAAATGAGACGCATGGTGGCAGCATTTATAGTAGGACCCGTTTATATCGTCATTTCTGCCCAGCTGCGTCTGTGAGCACAGAACTGGCCGGAAGGAGGGCCACCCGAAGTCCACAGCGACCTCTGCACGGTGCCACCTTTACACCTTCCTCTTTCTACCTGTACGTACTGCATGACTCATTATAACAAACATGTGCACATGTACAGAAAAAGTTGTTTCTTCATTAAAAAAAAAGAACCAACCTGTTAGGTATTCGTAGAGCCAGAGGGGCGGAGGCGCTAGGGAAATAAACTGCCTTTGTTTTAAAAAAGAAAACACGGTATTTTATATACACTTGTCCAGGCAGAAATGTGGGGATCCCTTTATCTCTTGGAGTGCTCACATCAATACATATATGATGTTCTCGTAGAATGCACTTTCTTCCTCAAACACACATGTCGTTACTTATTTATTTGGGTTGGAGGAGTGTGGTAGAAAATAAAGTCGGTGAAAAAGAAAACAGGTATGAACTCCCCTCTGAGAGATACATGCAATGGTTACAAATGAGAGACACTTGGGGACCGGACGGGACACTGCCTGTGCCTGCCGGCCAGCACTGCCTCAGACAGGGGCATTTTCCAAACCAGGTCCTTCTACAACATGCAATTCCGACCCGAGCTGGCTGGTCCGGCTCCTTTACCCATAATTACAACTGTTGCTTCCTAAACGCTGGCAGGCAAATCGGCCCATGTTTCCAAGCTAAACCTTTCTATGGAAAAAAGAGCGGTCCCTTACTCGCCCTTTACACCATAATATAGTCCTTATCCCAGTAAAGTAAATGACATTATTGAATTATGTTCGTGAATTTCAACAAATAAATAAAAAATCTTGATAGTGCTGGAAGTCCTTTAAATGCTCAAAATCCAGTTAAGGGCTCAGAATGTGGGCTGCGGTCCTTAAGATACACACACAGGTACACCCTGTCACCACCGCCACCTCACCCTGTAGCCCCACACGAAGCTACAGCGTCTCGCTCACGTGGCCGGGGGGCTCTGAGCGCAGCAGCTTTGTTGAGGTGTAACTCACACACCACACAGCCCCCCCACCTCACGTGTTCCACGCGACGGGGTGTAGTGTGCTCCCGGAGTCCCAGAGCACACCTCTGGGGTTACTCTCTGTGGTGTAGCCCACTGTGCTGTTCACATTCATTCCAAAAAAGGGGTTTTTGAGGCATCATACGTGCTGGCTCTGAGCAGAGCAGGCAGTGGAAACAGAAGTGGACAAGAAAGGTGTCCCTGGCCTCGCGGAGGGCGTGTCGTCGACTGAAGACCAAGTAAGCAGACGCAGAGCTTAATCCGCTAGCGCTGTGTCTCGATGGGGTTTTAACTCTCCCGGGAGGGACGGGTGCCCACAGCGGCACGAATGATCCACAATCTTATCCCTGGAAGCTGGGGACATGACCTTATTTGGAAAAGGGGTCTTTGTAGATATAATTAAGTTGAGGGACAGGAGATGAGGAGATCTTCCTGGATAATCTGAATGTCCCTAACCCCAGTGACAAGCGTCCCCATAAGAGACACACAGAAGGCCATGTGAAGACGGAGGCAAAGAATGGAGGCATGTGGCCACAAGCCCAGGAAGCCAACAGCCACGAGAAGCTGCGAGAGGCAGGAACAGTCTCTCTCAGAACCTCCAGATGGAGCGTGGACCCCGTGACTTCCGACCCCTGGCCTCCAGAATGGTGAGAGAATACACTTCTCTTGTTTGAAGCCACCAAGTCTGTGGTCATGTGTTATGGCAGCCCCAGGGAGCTAACACGGTGTTGCAACCTTCCATCTGGGCCCCAGGAGCCAAGTGGCTGAACCCCATCTACCACTTCAACGCCACTTGCCTTCTGGCTCTAGCTGGGATCAGCGATGGGACTGAGGGACCACAAGCGTCGCTGTAGGTGGCCAGGTCCCCTGCATTCAAAGCAGCCCTGCTCCATCCCTCGGGCCAGAGGTGAGGCATACACAACTGCGGCCAGCCCTGCACCAGCCCTGGGGTCTACACCCACCGTCCCCTTGTAAAGGACACCTTTATCATATGCCTCTCAAGTTCCCCCAGCTGAGGGCCCTGTTCTTCCAGGAGCCCGACTGACATAACTGGAATGGCTTTCCCAGTGACATAAGATGACATGTGAGCCCTACGCAGCCCTTACTGGGTCTTATCCATTCCCGGCACCCAGAGCCCAGCAGTGCGCAGACCAACGTGGGCACCTCGCTAAATAAACTCCGCTGGGTCTGTAGGAATGGGGCTCCCTGGGGCCTTCAGGCCACTGCCAGTTGCTAATGTCTCACTAATCTGTTCTGAAGGTTAACTTTTTAAAATGTTTATCGTAAATGTTTAAACAGTAACATCAAAGATTAACGCTTATTGTTACAAGCAACCAGCTGTTTGGGAAATGAAGCACACTCCTCCTTTACCACAGCAGGGATGACGGTCTGGAAGTGAGATGTAAAGGGAAAGAATTAAGATTATGACCGTGACTGCCCTAAAGCAACACCAGCCATTACCGGAGAATGACTGCAGACACGCAGCTCACACAGACACCTTGGATATGACCTGGCTTCACACAGTTTCTTTCTCGGCGGTGGAAGTTCACCCTCTCCTTGTGCAAAGTGTATCAGAACGTGGGAGCAGTGCTATGACTGTGATGGCCTTGACGCCACTGTCATTTACACGTCTTTAAAAACCACCCAAGAACTTCAATGCCTGGCCTACAGCTATAACAGCCGCAACATGCTCGACACAGTGGGTCATTCATTCATTCATCCATCAATCTATTCATGAAATAGTCATTCATTCATTCATGAAATACTGTCATTCACTCATTCATGAACTACTTATGAAGCATCTCTAGGTGCCAGGCTCAGGGGAGACAATGACCAGAACCGTCTGCCATGGTGACCGTCCTGCCGACAGGCGCTGTGAGCTGGACGGCGCCCAACTCCAGGGGGCGGCCAGCCCACCGCAGACGGTGTTTGCTCTTCAAATGAAAGACGCCAAAGAGAAAAAGGTGGGGGAAAAAAAAAATCAAACCATGTGAATTTAAAGATTTAGGTAAGAGGGACGGCCGAGTGGCGCGATGGTTAAGAACTCGCTTGGGATGCCAGAGGGCCCCGGTTCGGATCCCACATATGAGGGACAGTGACACTGCCCTNTCCAGGTGAAGGCCGATAGGCACAGCCGCCACCTGAGCCGCCTGCAGGAGTGTTCCCGCACCGTCAACGAGATGGCCGCGAATGTGGTGGCCTCCACCAAGTCAGGCCAGGAGCAGATCGAAGACCGAGGTGAGTGCTGGGGCCCGTGGGCCGGGCCGGGGGCAGGTGGGCGCCCAGACACTTACCCCCTCTCTGGCCACAGACACCATGGACTTCTCGGGCCTGTCCCTCATCAAGCTGAAGAAGCAGGAGATGGAGACCCAGGTAGGTTCCCACGCCCACCCCTCCGCCGCCCGCTTTCTAGGTGCCTGTCCCTCTCCTAGGGCTGCCTCCAAGAGGGCGGGAGGGCTCCCCGGGGAGAGGCCGTGGCGCCTGCTGAGTGGTGTGTGGGCTGCAGGTCCGAGTCCTGGAGCTGGAGAAGACACTGGAGGCCGAGCGCGTGCGGCTGGGAGAGCTGCGGAAGCAGCACTACGTGCTGGCCGGGGTGGTAGGGACGCCCGCCCAGGAGGAGCCTGCCCAGCCCAGCGCCGCCCCCCAGAGCCGGACCTCCAAGAAGCCGCCTCTGGCCCAGAAGCCCAGCGTGGCCCCCAGGCAGGACCAGTAGGTAGGACCCCCGGGTGCCAGGCATCAGCACGCAGACAGGGAGGGGCCCTGGGGGCGCTGTCCCACTTCTGCTTCTAGGTCTGTGGGGCACAGGACCTTGGGGAGGTCAGAAAGCATTGACCAGCAGGCGCAAAAATGCCGCCCGGCGACACGGGAGGCTTGGCTCGCTCAGGGGGGCTACACGGGGGGCCGAGGAGCGGGGTACAGGGGGCCTGTGTCATGCACTCCTGGCCTTGTCCACTGAGCCCTTCACCTTTGACCCCTGCAGCTAGACCAAAAGGATGGCGTCTGCCTGCCTCATCTCGTGAACTCCCAGGCTCTGGAGGGGTCCAGCGGGTGGCTGGTGGGCAGGCCTGGGCCCCGCGTGGCTACCCTGACTTGGCTGAGGCGGCTTCGAGGGACACAGTCCCATACCAGGTNGACAGCAACTTGTCTGTTCCCCTTTCCCCAATTCCCCAGCACTGTTCCCATCCCCCCAATTCCCCAATAAAAATCTTTAAAAAAAAAATAAATAAAGATTTAGGTAAGAAAAGTTACTGGTGGTGATTTGAAAGCTCCACTCCTGTCCGGGCCTTCACACATTTCAACAGGATGTGCTAACATTCATTGAGCCCTTACTGCACGCTAGGCACGATGCCACCTTCTGTTCCGCCATAGTTATCTGCATTTAACCCTCTCAGTGAGGGTGAGACAAACTCGTCCCCATTTTACTCAGGACAAAGGAAATACCATCTTAGGGAGGTTTAAGAGGCCACCAAAGCCACAAGAAGAAACTCCAGAGCTAGATATGAAGTGTTAGGGCTTTCTGTCTTCAAGAATGTTTTCCACATGATGAATGCCATGAATTATGCTGTCACAGCTACTATAAGCTACTGTCAGCTACACAGAATCTAGTCTACTATCATTTTTTTCTCTTTTCAAGTTCTAATAATCATCTAAACTTCATTTCTATTTGTATCTTTTTATTGAGGCTATTTTCAAGCACGATACAAAAAGAGCGAGTAGCACTAGCCCCTGTGCTCCCTTCCCCAAAGTCAACGATCAGTGAGTGACTCTCCCCATCTTGCCTCATCTACACGCGCCACTTTTTTTTTTGGAAGTATGTTAAAGCAGATCTCAGGCACCATATCACTTGACCCTTTAGAAACTTTAATAAGTCTCTTCAATGGGTAAAAACCATAATTCTAACTGTAATGTCATAATTACACTTACTAAAATTAACAATTAATTCTTTAATTTCATCTTCTGCATGTGTGTGTGGGGGGGCTTGACTTCTCTAATGAGTCTTTGGCCTCATCTATTTTAGAATCTGAAATAAAATAGCCTATATAGGAGCAGGAGCAGTGTCTGAGTCCGTCCATCCTTCCTCTTTTAAATCATTTCTTAGAGAACTGAGTTAATAATCAAGCCACCCCCAAAAATGACCAATAAGCTTTTGCGGGGGTATCATTATTAAGTGATGGATTTTTATTTGTTATGTGTTTCAATCAGTTGCAGTCACGGATCTTGCTGTTGTCAACACGTCCACGGCCCGTGGGAGACACGTCAGCTCGGTCTGAAGTGGACACACCCCAAGATCTGACAGCTCCCCTGCTCGCTTGCATTTAGCCACATTCATCTCATCTCCTTTCACTGTACTACACCTGACCTAGCTCACCAATTGCTGTTAGGATAAATTTCACTGAAGTCACATGCAATTTGAGTATGGTCTTTCATATTAAAGGCTAGGTTCTTAGAAAGGCCAAATTCATCTTCCATCCAGCAGAAAGACCTTCCCAGGGATGAACTCATGTCACCAGCTGTCCGATTGAACACAGGCTTTTCAGGAGGAGCCTGGTCTAACCCAAGCCTCCGGCACCCCAGAGCCATGCTGCAAATACACCGAATGGGGCTTAATTCAATCCAAATGTTCCTTGAGTTTTAATGAAAAAACTTAACGGTTGGAGAGTTGGACTGTTTAACATGTTAACAAAATTAAAGATCTGAACGTACAAAAATACATGGAAAGCACTGTGCACATCATGAAACTGCTCGAAAATACAGCCATCTCGTGGGTTGTGTGAAACCATCTCCAAGGCTACAGCCTACCCGCCAGAGGAAATTTACCAGCTGCTTATCAAATCTCCCACCCAAACCACCCACTCAACAAACAGAACATAGGAGATTAATAAGAACTGTTCTTTTTGATTGAAGGCGTCAAAATCCTTCTTGTTGAGATGAACTGGCTGCGCTAAGGCATTAGCAGGTAGTGGGGTACAGCCTGAACCCCTCGTCCGTGTGGAGCTGGCTGCACCTTAGTTTGTTATTCACTCTAAGGGCAACTGACCCCAGAAATGCACAAGACCAGGCTTGAAAACAATTGGACGAGTCCTGGAGGAGAATGAAGTGTCCTCAGGGACACACATTTGAGTTTTCTAGTTCCGGCAGGCACAACACGGCAGGGTGTTTTGTTGTTTTTTCCCTAGAAGACTTGTTTCCTAATATTCAGAGAAAGCAACCTAAGGTCTCCCTCCTTCTTGGGCTTCTGTGGATAACAGTGTCAGTAATAAAGAAACCTATTAGGTCTGACGGTTCTATCTGATAACTGTCACGTTACTTGACAGATGTTACGTGCCTAGTGTCACTGGCTTTCTAAGACCTGGGGACTCCGGGTGGAGAGGGGAGGGGCGAGGAGAACGGGGTATGGGACACCCAAACCCATCACTATGTGAACTGTCTTTGTCCCTCCTCACACGTACGTGGCCCGACCCTGGTCCTCCAGAAGCCCACTCTCAGCAAGTGGGCCAGGGGAAGCCCCAGAGGCCCTCACTCCTTATCATCAGGACCAGTTAGCCACTGGCTAACCGAACAGCTTGGGTAAAGCAGTAAATCACTCAGCACCCACAACACGTTCAAGATATACATCTGCCTGTGTTGTCACTGAAGCCAGAGGTCTTTTCTTAGAGAAAGGGTCCCTTTTCGCCCTGACAACGTCCTTTCATGTGGACACACAGGATGAGCAGGGTCCTGGAATGCCTCCATTCCCCCAGTCTAACCCACCAGGAGGTTCTTCTCCAGCGAATCGCCTTAGGTTGGCGCGTCCCAAAGCACTCGGCTTACACTCTGCACTCCTGGCTGATCAGTAGCCATAGTATTGAATGAAATCATTTCATGACTGTAAAAAATAACACCAGGACGAGCAGGTGTGAGAGCAAACACGTCTGACTCTGGGTTTGGGTGCGCCCAATGGGGACAGAAACGCTGACACCTAACCATGGTGGAGGTGGTGCGGGGCGAGGGGGGCACATCAATCGTTATATGTGATGAAAGGAATAGTAAGAGCTTAGGGTCTTTTCCTCTCTGTAGTGCCTTTTTAACCACAATTTACAACAAATGCCCGTATGGGGATGTTCTGTATAGTTTTGACACAGGTGCAAGTAAGAAAACGCTTACCCAGATGGATCCTGGATTTATCGTTAATACTACATCTCCTGACAGGTTTGCTTTTACACTGAAAATGTATCATGACACGAACCTTCCAACACCTGACTCCAGAGTTCAGTTTAATAGATAAAATTTACTCTCACATGACTGAAATGATTCATCTTTAGTATGAGAAAATGCTGTTTTAATATTGGGTTGTTGTTTTTTCTTAAGTCTGTGGCTAAAGAAGGGGGTTAATCAGAGGAGAATCAGCTACTCTAAATTATTCTACTTAAATTTCCTAACAAAAAAAACTTAATTCTATCTGATGTAGGGAATTAGATGTTCTAATTAAAAGAACTGCCTAGATTCTTAAGTTTTACCCAGTTTCAAAAAAACATTAAATGTCAATATTTAGCAGATTTATGTTCAAAACGTTAACTGCAATATAATTTATGATGACAAAAAAAAGCCCCTAAATATCCAATAATAAGGAAATGGTCACATAAACTATGACATAGCCACACAATGAAATATCATGTGGCCATTAAAAATGTCCTGTAAGAATATTTAGATAAAAAAAAATGCCCATACATGTTCTTATACTCTGGTAAGAAAGTGCTCGGCGCAGAACACAAAACAAACAGAAAACTGCATATACAGTATGATCCGATCGGGAAAGACACAGAAAGAAAACGGAGGAAATGTGTGTTAATAGTCTTTGTCACTGGGTGATGGTATTACAAGCGATTATATTTTTTCTTTATAGTTTTCTGTATTTAAATTTTTTCCTATAAGGAACATGTAAAAAATGTTACTTTTAAAGGTTTGGTCAGTTGGGATCAGAATTTAAAAACACTATATACGTCCCTGACTTCTTAGAGTATGTGAAAGACAACCTTTGAAGAGCCAGAACCGTCATTATCACGTAACTGTGGCACTGTCTGTGATAAACCCGTCCTTGTGGGCGATGGAAGCAGATATATCCATTTATCCTCAAATGAGTATTTGCCAAAATGTGCCCCAGGGAACCCAGGCCAGGGAGTTTGGGAAATACTGCCCCCAGTACCCCTCCCTCTGGAGCTTTCACACGCACCCCAGCCGGAAGAACCAGACAGAGCAGAACAAACAAAACCCCTCTTAGTTAACCACTGATTTCCTAAACTTATTTACCAAGCAACCCTTTTAATGTAATTATCGTTAATATCAACAGAATGAAGGCTCTAAGGGGAACACGACCCTAAATCCAATGGCCCCGACCACTTTACCAACTGTCACAGCTTCCATCTGCTGGGCACTTAGCACTGCCATGCACTGTGTTCAACAGCTAACAGACGTTGTCTCATTTAATCCTCATAACAACCCATAAGGAGGGTATTATGATACTCCCGCTTGAAAGACTGACACTGAGATTTAGGAAGGTTAAGCTGTGTCCAGTGTCCTAGCAACCCAATCCCCAAATCGTATCTTAACCTCAATGCTTAAGAGTTGACCTTATATTTTTTTGTGCAGCTTTTTATAACTTTTGCCTCCTCTTTCTCTAGCATTCATTTCTGGATGGGGTTATTGGCCCTACCCGTTTTTCCCTATACCTTTTAAAAATCTACCACTGAGGGCCGGCCGACTGGCTCAGTTGGTTAAGAGTTGGCTTAAGAGCACGAGCTCTGAGCAACAGGACCACCGGTTCGATTCCCACATGGGCCAGTGATGCTGTGCCTCAGCTGAGTTGTCGCTGAACTGCCAACAGGTGGCAGGATGGCTCAGCTGGTGTAACAAGATTGCCTGTTCGATGGAGGGCTACGCCCACCCTCAACTAAGACTGAACTCAGCACCCTGAGCTGAGCTGCCGCCCGGATGGCTCAGTGAATAGAGCATGCGCTCTTAACAAGGCTGCTGGTTCGACTCCTGCATGGGATGGTGGCTACGCCCACCTGCAACTAAGATTGAACACAGCACCTTGAGCTTAGAGGCCACGAGCTGCCGATGACAGTTAGGTGGTGACTGGTGCCCTCCAC